ATGATTAAAACATGATTTAAACGTTCTTCAAAATAAAACATTTAATTTGACATTATTAAAAAGTGCACTTTAGTGTGTTAAAAAGTGTGTGTCATGAAAGTCTACTTTTTTTTTAAAGTGTTGTGTTTAATTACAATTGGCCTTTTATTTAATTAATATTATATTATTGTCACAGTAATGTTCTGTTTAGTTTTCATTTCATGGTTTCTGTCAGCCTGATTTTTCCTTGATTTGTTGGTATGGTTTTGGATTAGTTACACACCTGTTCCTTGTTTCGTTAATGATCATTCCCAGAGCATTTAAGCCCTCTGTTTTCTGAGTTCTGCATCGTCAATGTCATTGTTAAGTGTGTAGTGTTTGCTTAAGATTTTTCTCAGTGTTCATTAAAGTTTCTAAGTATTGTTCATTCTGCATCACACATCTTTCTTGGATTCAACTACACAGCCGTTATGGGACAGAATGCAGATCCATCGAAACGAGTAAAAAGAGAAAGACAAATATGAATATACCTGCAGTTCGCCTCCTGCTCGAGCAGGGGTGTCGTTCCCTTGAAGACCACACGTGGGATTTTCTAGATCTGGTGTGTCTCATCCATTATCCCGCTCTCTCGCTCTGGACATTCTTTAACACCAGCCCCAATGAGCGGTCGAGGGCACTCCTACCCGTGGACGGTCCTCAAGAGAGCTTCACTGCTTATGTGGAGTGAGTGCTGGTTAAGTGTGGATCTTCACTGACCATCTGCCCCGCAGAGGAGGACATCTCCAGTCCCGATTCCACCATGGACTCAGAGCCCAGCCAACCTTCAGCCATGCCCGCAGCGGACCAGTAGCCAGAGCCCACCGCAGACTTGGAGCCTGAACCCGCCACGAAGTCAAAGCCAGAGCAAATGCTGAGGTAAACTCCGTCCTGGAGCCCGAGCCCATCGCAGATTCAGACCAGGTGCATTAGCCGGCACCAGTGTCCATCACTGAGGGCATATTAGTAGAGTCCGGCTGCATGGATTAGAGCCCCACCCATACTCCCATCGCTGAAGTGCGCTCACTGAGCTTTGTCACCCAATTAATAATTATTTGATTGTTTGGATGATGTCATGTTTCAAGGTCTCCAGTCTGCACTGGTCCCGTCCAGTCTCCTGTCTCCTTCGCCACCGCTGGTTCAGCCTAGTCCCCAGTCACATTTTTCTCTTCATCGCCACTGGTTCAGCCCAGTCCCAAGTTGTCTTCGTCGCCACTGGTTCAGCCCAGTCCCAAGTTGTCTTCGTCGCCACTGGTTCAGCCCAGTCCCAATGAATGTTCATCGCCTCTGGTTCAGCCTAGTCCCAAGTTGTCTTTGTTGTCACTAGTTCAGCCCAGCCCCAAGTCATCTTCATCACCACTGGTTCAGCCCAGTTTCAAGTCATCTTCATCGCTGCTGGTTCAGCTCAGCCTGCCTCTTCCTCCTCTTCTGCTAACACCATCCAGTGCATCTGCATCGCCTCCGCTGTCTCCCTTCAGCCCCTTGGCTCCTCTCTCAGTTGCTCTGCCCTGCTGCTCAGATCTCCTTGGGCTTCCTGGTTGTCGACTCCGCATTGGTCTGAGGATCTCTCAGCTCCACCTCTAGCTTTGGAGCCCCAGACTCCACCTTGGCACTCTGCTCCACTAGCTCCACGCTCCCAAGGCTCCACCATGGTATGTCTTCCCTCACGCTCTGCTAGGCTTCCTCCTCCCACTTGGCTCCACCTTGGTCTATCGTCACTCTGGCTCCACTTCGGACTTCCGGATCTCCAGCTTCACCTCGACTCTCCTTTCCTCTGGTTCTGCCACTGTCCTCAGTCACACCGACTCCACCCAGGTCTGCCAATTCCGCTTTTTCCACCTCAGTCACAGATGCCTGTGGCTCCGCCTTGGCCCTCCAGGCCTTTCATCTCCTGGGTTCCACCTGGGTCTCATCCTTTCACGCCGTGACCTTTGGCGGTCGGGCTCCTGATTCAATCCTGGCTCGTCCTTCCATCGGTTATACTGTGTCGTAACTTTTCAGTTGTGTGATTTCTAAAATTTGTTACATATTATTTTGTTTTTTTTCCTGAAAAAAGAATGTGAATGTATAAAGGCTGAATGCATTATATTACATCTGAATAGATGGTTCTTCGTCAGGAAAAACCTGAATGCAAATAATAAACATTTTGGCCTGCAAGAAAACAGTCCTTATCTCAGTCAGTCGTTGTTGCTTGTAGCTGTTTCCTATTCCATGTTCCTGTCCTGAGTTCTGTGTTCTGTTGTTTGCCCTGGATTACCTGTTTGTTTAATTAAATTAGTGCTTGCATTTGGATTCTCTCTCCGCTTCGTTCCTACCTCATCGTTACAGAATGACCGACCCACGATGAATCCAGCAGCACAGATTCTGTGTCTTCGTCAGGGAGACCGGCCCATAGAGGAGTATGTGAGAGACTTTATTGAACTGGCAAATGTAACTTCAATGGATTCTTTGTGCCTCATGATATTTTTTAGAGGGGGACCATCTGAGCCACTCGGGTCAGCCATGCCACTGCACAATCCTCAATGGACTTTAGGATTTTATATTGATTTGGCCCTGTTACTGTGCGGCTCAACCTTAACTGTGGGTTTGGTGGACAAGGAGCCCTGCTGCCCCACAGTACCCGCCAAGCCAGAGTTTCTTCACGTCAGTCCTGCCGAGCCAGAGCTTCACGTCAGTCCTGCCGAGCCAGAGCTTCACGTCAGCCCTGCCGAGCCAGAGCTTCACGTCACGTCTGCCGATCCAGAGACTCTTCACGTCACGTCTGCCGATCCAGAGACTGTTCACGTCACTTTTGCCGATCCAGAGACTGTTCACGTCACGTGTCTGCCGATCCAGAGACTGTTCACGTCACGTGTCTGCCGATCCAGAGAATCTTCACGTCACGTCTGCTGATCCAGAGACTGTTCACGTCACGTCTGCCGATCCAGAGACTGTTCACGTCACGTCTGCTGATCCAGAGACTGTTCACGTGTCTTCCGCCGAGCCAGTGTTTCCGGACAAGATGGCCGCCACTGAACCAGTGTTTCCGGACAAGATGGCCGCCGCCACGCTGTCGGTTCCTGTTCCCGAGCCGGTGTCTGTTAATGTTCCCGAGCCGGTGTCTGTTCCTGCCCATAACCCTATAGCCGCCCCCAAGAATTTTTTTTGGGGGGGCAGTGTGTCCCTTGACAGGACCATGGCTTGTAGCTGTTTCCTATTCCATGTTCCTGTCCATGGAATGTTCCTGTCCATCGGGAGGCCACGCTGCCATGGCCTCCCGAACTGTCTGGACCGCCCTGGTCGCCTGAAGGGTCGTCTCCGCCCTGGTCGCCTGCACTGCCTGCTCCGCCCTGGTCCCCTGCACAGCATGCTCCGCCCTGGCCTCCCGTCCTACCGCAGTCTCCAGGCCCTCTTCCGCTCCACGGGCCTGACCCTCCATCCCACCCCCGGATCCGCCTCCGCTCCACCACCCTCCTGGACTGTTTTCCTGAGGAGCGTCTGGAATCAGCTCCTTAAGTGGGGAGCTATGTCATGATTCCTGTCTTGTGTTCTCCTTGTCCCGTGTGGACTTTTGTTATTTCCTGTTTTGTGCCATGTTTATTAGTCTCCCCAGGTGTTTCTGATTTACCACACCCCCTTGTTATCTTGTTTAGCTTGTTTGCCTGTGTACTTAAACCTCTGTGCTTCAGTTGTTGTTTGTCGGTCGTTGTTGCTTGTAGCTGTTTCCTATTCCATGTTCCGTGTTCCGTTGTTTGCCCTGGATTACCTGATTGTTTTTTTAAAGTAGTGCTTGCATGTGGATTCTCTCTCCGCTTCGTTCCTACCTCATCGTTACAGTTACTATACTCTCTAAAGCATTATTTGGACAGTGTTGAAGCAGCATTATAATATAGCTAAATGGCAAGAAAAATACAATTTATGGATTTTAGTCCAAATATGCTAGCCAATCAAAACAATGGGCGTTTACTTTGAAGTCTAAAAGGAGAAGCAGCCCCAACAGGGTTGAAAAATGGTCATGTGGTACTATAAATTATGTTTTTGGTTCAAACAACTTAACTAACATTATAAGTAAATAATAAAATAAAAGTACGACACACATCACATCAATGAGTCAGTTTTACAGTCCACAATGCTTTGCGCAATCATTAATGGTAAAAGTATGTTTATTTCATAAGAAACCACTACAAACGGAGCATAATGAATATAATCTTTTTATATTTTTTACCCTGCTACAAAATATTAATGATATTGATACACACTATCAAATGAAAACAATTATCACATTACAAACAATAAATAAATACTGTGAATAAATAAGTGAAATACTGTAGCCAAGTCAATTTATAGACCTATGGCGGGCCAAGTAAACCTCCTAGAAAAATCTGCGTCTGTCAACACTGCTCTAGATAGGCGTCTACTATCACCCACAGTGACCAGCTCTGTGAATTGCTAAATTAATTTGATGTTACATTAAAATTACACCCTTAACTTGATCATAAAATGTAACTTCCAAAGACACAGTCACTCAAAGTTAGGAGGTGATTATCACTTGACTTGCATGAACATGACGTTTTTGCAGCGATGGTGTTTATATTTGGTTGTTGATTGCATTGTTTTACAGTGTGTTGCAATGGGTACTACGAACCCCTCAGTGCAAATATCACACAGATGGCTTATACACATAATGATATATTCTGTATGCATTACTCTCTTGCTCAAAATGCCAGCAGTTTTGCATAGATTTATATCTCTAACAGTCATTTTGGTGAATGCCAATGAAACTCTCGTAAGAACTAAACTCATCATGACAAATAGCTCAACACAAAGGGATAGCAAGTCTTTTGTGCTACCATGGGTGATCACATTCGCATTCATAGGTATTAGTAGAAAATGTGCACACATAAATGTTTGTAGTTTAGACACTAAATCTGTACAATATCAATATTAACAGAATCTAAAATGTTAATGTGTTTACGTAAGAACAACTTTAGAGTCTTATCCTTAGAGGAATCATTATACATATGTAAAATGCTTTATGTTTTGAATACTGTCTGTCAGTTCTTTGGTTCTGCACATATTCAGTGTCCATCCAAACATACACATATGCTACAAACCCCTTTTTAAACACGAATAGCTATGAATGCTTATGAAATCAGGTTGGTGTTATACAAGCTCACAATGGGCAAAAACGCAATCCCGTCAGCAGCAGCAGCAGCAGCAGCAGCATTCCAATCCAGGGCTCAGGTCCACCTCACAATCAACCCGCTTTGGTTAAATAGCTTTTTTTAAGTTGAGTTGTAGTTACAGCTCTGTTGAATTACTTTCACCCATCGTTTTCATCAGCTCTCTTTTCATTCTCTTCTGTTCAATGTTCATTTTGTCACAAAAAGTAATCCGGAGGAGTAGGAGAAGGCGAGGTGTTGGGATGGGAAGGCTGAGTTTCGTTGGAACTGACGAGCTTCTCGTAACGCGCTTTGTACGAGTCTCGCTCCCTCAACACGCGAGACAGCTCACACTGCAGCTGCTCCAGCTAGAGGAATCAAAAGAATAGATTGGAAATACAGTACTTTTGATTAAGATTGGGAAAGAACTTTCTGTAACACTTTACAGTTTTGGTAATACTTTAAAGGTTTCATTTGTTAACATTAGTTAATTCATGAGTTAACATGAACTAACAAACCTCTAAAGCATTTATTAATCTTAGTTAATGTGTATTTCATCATTTACCAATACATTATTAAAATAAAAAGTTGTATTTATTAATATTATTTAATGAATTATATGAACTACCAATGAACAGTTGTGTTTTATTAACTAACATTAACAAAGATGAATAAATATGTATTGTGATAATGCTAGGTAGGACTAACCTTAACTAATGGGATCTTATTGTAAAGTGTTACCGCACTTTCTAATGTTTCAAAACCAAGCGAGCTGCCTTGCTCATTACAATGGATTCTGGGATTGACTTCTTCGCAAAGGATATATGCAGTGTTGCATTAAAAGGTTGGCAATCAACAGAACTTTTCTTACCTATTGCTAACAGAAATATGTTCTAAGAACATTATGCGAACATCCATTTGATAATTTGGTCAGTCTGATTGTTACTTTTGAATGTTATCTGAGCAAGTTCTTCTGAAACAAGTAGGCCTAATGCTGTCAAGGTAGGAAGCTGACCAGGTTTCGGAAGAGAGCTACTGTGTCATGACTGACTTTTGTTGTATGTGTCTCAGTTTTGTCATATTTCAGTGTTTGATGTGTGTGTTGTGTACCTGCTGTGTGAGAATATGTTTCTCGGACTCGAGCGCGTGCCGGTGCTGGAGTCGTTTGTAACGGCAGGACTGGGCGTAACCTCGATTCTTCAGCGTCCGTCTTTTCTGTTTCAAACGGACCACCTCATCTTTGCTCACTCCACGCAAATGTCTGTTCAGCTCTCGCACAGACAGACTTACCAACTGCTCATCAGAAAAACGCTCATCCACCCCACACTGAAAGAGAAAGAGACAAAAAAAAAGATGATTCACAGAGATTTGTCACAGAATGGACACAACGTGCGATCATGATAATTAAAGCTTCATCAAACACTCACATGATGGAGGAGAAATGAATAGTACACAGCACTTGAATTGTACAGTCTGATGAAAACAGCACAGTCATATAGAAGTATTATTTATCTAGTTTGGTTTGCCTTGTGGCTTTTGTGTCACTACTAGAACTGGGTTCAAACCAGTTGATATGAACATCGGGAAACATCATGACAATACAAAAACCAGTAATAGCAAGAAAACCTGCGATAATCTGAGCTTGGCTAAGGATAAGACTGAGCAAGTTCATATTCTGTTACTATATGCTTGCTTTATTCATTCATTTATTTATTTTAAGTGAAGTAGTTTTGGTTGCGATTGAAACAGTGGAGACAAATTCCTTTTAAAAATAGCTTGAAAAATGTAATTATGAATCTGTAAAATATTGAATGATCTAAGGACGGTTGTGCAAAGTACATGACTTATGATGAATTATTCATGATGTGTTGTGATAATTTTAACACACTCTCTCATGACAATTTGTAATTGTTTTACGTTTTGGCCAATTGAATTGGTCGCATTAATTCGTACTAATCTCATTTGTAATCTCATTTGTACGTGCCCGTACGATCTTCTTACACACCAGTTGGGGTGGACCTTCATGCTTGCTTAAAAAATGTTTTCTTTCAATAAAATTTTACAAATGAATACAAATTTTTCTCATGACAACCATGTGGATAATATGATAATGGAAAATAAAAAATGTATGAGCTTTGTGTAGTACATAGTTTGGCCCATAGATAATGTGAGCGTCTTTGTGCATGTGTGTGATTTTGGCATTACATTTCCATACAGCATAATCTGACTGAGTGTAAGTGACATTGATCAGGATTACATCACAATAATAGTAGATATTACCATAATCTTATAGCGCTGCTCCACATTTAGAGGCAGACATCCACCAGTCCTATCCATTAAACTGCTTTCAACACACTTCGCCACAATACCATTAGCCATTCACGGTTCAAAATGTGAACACTGAAACAAGGCGTGTGCACCAACACTTTCTTACTGAATTTACATGGAAAAAAGACAGTGATTTAGTTATATTTAATTCCCCTTTTAAAAGCAATCTATTTATTTCTACCCTTCATTTCAAACAAAATAACTGTGATTTGTTGTTGCATCGCTGTATCAACAATTACAATAATATAAAAGAAGTTCCAAGTGCCCAATCAAATAGAACACTGATCATCATACTGGTGAGTTAAACTAAAACATTTTAGGAAAATTAACATCAATTTATGAAGTCAGCTAATGTGATGTTCTCTCAAAAGTTTCAGTTGTATTGACAATTCAACATTCAAGATTACTTTGGGAAATGAGTGAATGCAACCAGAGAAAGATAACTGCAGAAGTTGAGGAAATGAGAGAAAAGTCTATTAAGAATTGTCCCGCCTCAAAAGCGTTTTTTTTTTTTTTTGTTGCTTGAAAATGGCATTCAAACCAATCAATTAATCTTAACTTGGGTTTTCTGAGTAAACAAGGCATAGTATGCGAATAGTACAGATTACTATATTTTTACAATTAAGTTAAGACATTAAGTAAAGTTAACTAAAAAGTGTTAGAACAACTGTTGGATTTGACAGTGTATAGTACACTTTAACTACATTTCAAAGACAATAGAAGAAACTTACAGTAAGTGGATCAAAAAAGCATTACAAAGTTCAGCTAACTGTATTTAACATACATTCAACTATAATATAGTTAATTTGCATTCAGTTAAGTATATTCTTAAGTATTTTCTTTTAAAAGTATATTATGTCCTTAAATATATTTTTTAAAAAGTATGTTAAAGTGTACTTCTTTTCACAAAGGAAATGTTTGTAGAACAAACAATCTACAAATTAGTATAACTGGTGGATGTCGACATCAGACTTTGCCTTCTTTTAACATTTATTAATTAAATCTCATTAAATGCAGGCATAGCTCTGTGATTGTCAGGGTTATGTTTAGTTCTGTTTAGTTTCACTGTTTTTGGTTTCGTTTTGCTTCAGTACTTTGTTCCCGTTTTGCCTGTGTTCTGTGTTCCCTAGTTAGTTTCCTTAGTTGTTCTTAGTTTCCTTAGTTGTTCTTAGTTCCACGGACCTGTTTCTTTTCAGCTGATTTCCTCTCAATGTGTATTTAAGCCCTGATATCTTTCTGTTCAGTGTTCGGTCTCGTTTACGTTTGTTTGTGGTTGCGTTTCCTGTTTATTCTGTATATTTGTAATTAAAGATTTTTCTAGTTGGATTATATCATTGTGCGCTTCATTGCAGCCACTCACCCGTTACAGTGATTTCTTTATCTTATGTTAATTAAATATTTAACAAATATAATGTAGAAGTGGCATTAGCCATTAGCATTCATATTTTGTAGCATTAGAGTCTTAATATCATAGTGGTGTTTGTTGATGATACATATAAAAAGATACAGACTGGTTTGATTAAATCCTTACAGTGCTTTATGGGGCATGTAGTTCATTGGTCCTAAACTTGTGTTTATCTGATTTTCAAATATATTTTTTCTAAAAAACAAAATGTTGTGATGTGGCCTAAAACTCCTATTGAGCAAATAGAGAAAACACTTTGGTACTGTTGAGTATGTGATTGTGTTGACAAAGTTTTTAGAGGATAAATTGGTGACTGCAAGTACCTGAGAGAGTTGCAGATGATGATGATGGTGATGATGATGATAATGGCCTTGCATTGAATGGTGTGGGTGATGGAGGCGGCTCTGTGGACTGAGGGGTTGTGAGAAGGGACTGGTCGATGTGTTGAGATTGGAAAGAGATGGAGGGGTGGAAGAAACGACCAGTATAGGGCGGTGACACATGTCTGACGGCTTGTTAAGAACAACATCAGCCCCGCTGTCACTGCTGGAGTCACCCATGTGACTGCTGCTCGAACTCTGAGACAAAACCGGGAACTGAGAGTGAAAGACCAGAGGAAATTCAAAGAGATTACAAAGAGCACATTACAAAGAGACTATAATGAAAATGCCACATTTGGACAAACACCCCACCTTAAAAGGCCATTTCTATGCAGGGCGCCAGAATATGAAGGCATGTCAAGTGTTCTCGAGAACCCTGCTCTGTTACATTCTTTTGAGCTCTGTTTTTTGAATGCAAAAACATCCTGCAAAAACTCTCTTGGCCACTGTCCCTGGAGTCCTGCGTGTTTTGTATGTTTTCCTACTCAAACACACCTCATCAGATTCTCCAAAACATGAAACGGGTGTGTGAGATAAAGAAAACATTCAAACTGTCCAGTGTCTGGTGGCCTCAGGACCAGGGTTAAGCCCTTGCCAGAGCCACCCTCCATTCGAGCAGGGGTCTCCAACCCTATTTCTGGAGAGCTACCGCCCTGCAGACTTCAGCACCGACCCCAAACACACCCAACCTAACTAATCATGGTATTCAGGGTTACTTGAAGTCTATAGGAAGATAGTTGGAACAGGGTTGGAACTGAACACTTGCAGGAAGGTTGACCTCCAGGAGTAGGGCTTACGTAAATGCCTTGCTGATGCTATGTGGTACATAGCCTACTAAATGTGTGGTCTTCCATTGCTGTAGGAGTGCCCAATCCTGTTCCTGGAGATCTACCTTCCTGCAAAGTTCAGCTCTAACCCTGATCAAATATGTACTTGCATTGCTTTATGAATTGCATTTGTCAACAAATTTCGGAATGCAATGGTGTGCGAAAATGAGCTTTAAAGCGTTTAGTGTTCACGTGCTTCGACCTGACACTCAAACAAATTCATGGTCCAAATAACACAGTTCATACCTGTGAATTCACTGCAGCAGCAGCAGAGTTTAGCAGGGCCTCCACTGCATCCTCACATCCCAGATACCCTCCTCGATCCCGGTCCCCTCGCTCCGGCACTCCTCCAAGAGCTCCCAGCAGGGACGCGGCGCCTCCGGGCTCCCCACCGAACTGCTGCTGCAGTGCAGCCAACCAGAGCAGATCCTCCAACGAGGTGGGGTTTGAACATGGTGCGGGGCCTCCAGCGGCTGGGCTCCCGTCCAGGTTGCCTTGAGAGCCGGAGCTCTGGCCCGATATGTATCCAGTGGAGATGGACAGCGGGAAAGAGAGAGAAGAGGAAGAGGAGGATGCCGATGGCGGTGGGTGTCCGTCACTGAGCGTGGGTGATGGAGGAAGTGAAGTGTAGGGGCTGGAGCTGAGGCTGGAGTCAGGAGGAGGGCAAGGAGCATACGGGGAACCCGTCGTATCCGGATGGAGGCCTGGTTTGGGGTAAAGGCAGGTTTGAGGAGGCGGAGGTGTGTCTGGCTTCACTTCAAACTTGAGCAGGTCGAAGTCGTTGAGATACTCCATGGCCAGGGGGCTCGGGGGCAGAGAGGGCAGTGGCAGAGACGAAGACATCGCAACAGGAAGTTGTTGTCAAAGGCGCAGACTTCGATTGTTACACAGACAAAGAAACAATAATGTGCCAAATTGTTTAAATTATTGTTTCTTTGAATTGAAGGGCTTCCCGTTTTATCATCTGAAACTGGCAGAGGGAAAGAAAGAGAGAAAATAGTGAGTAGACAGCTAAAGACTGCTCCATTAATACAGTAGCTCCTTAATTCACACTAAGTTACAGACGGTTTGGATTAAATATTTTTCCTTATTCTTTTATTAAGATGTTCTGATTATATTTCACCACAACGTTCCCCAAAAAGCTTGTTTGCTTTTTTAAAGCTTTTTTTTAGGACCGTTAAGATTGTGGGCCATTTACATTTTTCTTAACTGGCAAATAATGTGAATTGTGAAGTATTCAGTTGAACATCCATAGTATTTGTTGTACTGTCATGAGTTTGTGCAGATTGTTATTGGGGATCAGAATTAAAGAAGGTCAAGATTAAAAAGCCAACGTGCCTTTAGAGATTTTAATTTCAACTCCATATAGTGCTGGCACTGTTTGATAATCTGTGACTAAATAATAGTTTGGCTACATTAAGAGGTACTAGCTAACATACTTTTGGTTGAAGAGCTGGTGAGATAAGAGACAAGAAGATTCCAAAAACTGGCTTGATACTACGATAAAAGGCTAATAGTGACACATTTGTTCAAGAATAAAATATAAAACAATGTAAGAAATTAATCATTGACATCTGGCTTTAAACCTGTTTTATGAAACATTACAGAACCTTTGTGATATATGGCAACTCATTTATTGGCTAATTATGAATCATGTTGATGTGTAGGTTGAAAACAGTTTGAGATTAATAGAGGAAAAGGCCTAAATCCAATCCCATAATCTTAATCCATCAATCCAGTCATTTCACGGAACGGCTGCTCCTTAACACAAGTGTTATAATATACAACTCAAACAATAGTGAATTTTGTGAGGACTTTCATAGACACAGAACTAAACACATCTTCTCTATAGAAAACAAAACTATTCAAAGCATTTTGTGCTAAAAACAGAAAATTTAGGCATATTTTTTGGAACTGACATTCCACTTGTTGAAATGTACAAAAAGTTAAATTTACAGTACATTTTTTGTTTTAATACAGTAACAAGCAAAAAGACACACTTAAATGGTTAGACCATAAACTACATTTCTAAAAATCTACAAGTACAAATATGAAGATAAAATAGTTGAAAGCACTTTTGTACTGAAACATTTTGAGATTATGCAGGATTCTATATTGTATTAACTGACCTGTCATAGAGTATGTTGAAATTAACATGTACTGAAGTTTTTTTTTAAGTTAAAGTACCTATTTGAATTAAGAGGCTAGATTATAAACTACTAAAACTGTTAGTTATTTACTATTAAAAATATACAAATAATATTATGAAGAAAAGAATATTCATCTTCATTATAAACTGAACATTCCTGTGACAGTCAATACACTTTTAAAACCACTTTTAAAGTTTTTTTTACAATCATTATTTGAATCATTACTGTAGATCGCTGCTAAGAGAATGACCTTCAAGTGGCTTCAGATGGTCTTTACTTTCATAGCAAGAATAGAACAGAAGATAAAGTGGGAAATGAGAGGATTTGATAGTGGAATAAAAGAGTAGGAACGACATGGAAAAAAAAGAGCATCAGGATAAAACTAGCATGACTCTAGAGAGAGACAGAGGAAATAATGTGTTAAAAGTCCATATGTTCTTACCGTGTGTTCATGTGGACAGCTCACACACATCCTGAGTTAATGACTGACTGATTGACTCCTGCCATGAGTGTGTGTGTGTGTCAGTGCGAGAGCTTGTGTTTGGTGCGAGAGCCACTTTGGAGCTGATTGTCACTAACAGAGCCCCAGCCCTCCCCCCTCCGACCCCCCGCTCCAAATCCCCCTCCATCCCATCGTTCTCTCTGTCGTTTTTACTCTTATTCTGAAAATGGTAAAACTGTCAAATGAGGAGCACACTTAGTTAAAAATATTGTTTGATTCCTCCAATAAAGTTCTAAAATAAGCTGATCAGAAGACAATTATAGAACTAACAATTGAAAAAGGTATTTTTCAGGCTAAGACTGTTAGTTACAAACCCATTATCTTAGGGCTTAAAAAGTCGACATCCAAAACCCAAAAATAAAATTCCAACTAAGACAGTGAAAAGACAAAAATGTATACATGAATTTAGTGGTGTTCTTGTTTAACCATATGACTCATCACCCCTGTATATATATATATACATTTGTGTTTGACATGACTAATTGCAGATCAGTTTTTATTATAATATTCATAGAGCAAACAGGCAGAAACAGGCCTGATTATAAGCGATGAGCTCATGAGGTTCACCCCGATCAGAGAGTCAGTCCATGCTGCCACCTAGTGCACTGACTCAACCATCAGCTCTGGCTCTTCAATGTAATGCTCAGATTCAGAAACAGTAAAAGAATGGAACAATTATAATAGTACTCAGAGTGTTTCCTTACGTTCTTTTAAAAAATAGTAATAATTGTACAAGCATCTATAGCTTCTGTCTTGATGACCTGAAACGATAAATTTACCAAATTTTATTTTGCATCACCCTAGTCAAGAAATCCTTCCCATTGAATTTGCTATCATAATTTTGAACTAATCCCAAAGAATGCTATGGGATTTTATTATTTCTAACATAAACTACTGTAGATCTTCTAAAACAAAACCCAAAAGAAAATCATATAAACGTACAGTATCCTTTAACTGTCCTGTAGCGAGACTTTTTTATAATACAAGTACAAACTGTAAAATTTAAAATGTTCACATTATTTAATTGATTATTCGATCAAAATTACAATACGTTAGCAATTCCATTAGGAATCCTGAAATTCTCAATTATTTTGACATAAAAATAATACATTTGTCTTGTGCATAAAAAAGGTTTTTGTGGCTTGGTGTGTATGTATTTGTGGAGGTTTACTGGTGGGCAGAATTTGTCAAACTAGCACTTTTAATGATCCTGGGGGGCTGAAGTTGTTAATCTGAGGCTCCTAATAATGTCTCGTTGAGGAATCAATGTGGTAATAATGTCTGAGTAAATCTGATTTAGACACTGGGAGTAGCCTAATACAGTAAGACGTGTAATCTCTCTGACACACACACACACACACACGTGCGCACACACACACACACACACACACACTTATGAATTTCTCAGTGAATTTTGAAATTAGAATTTGAATAAATAAACACAAACACACACACACATATATATATATATATATATAAACAACGCATCGTTGAGTCACTAGTATTCCAGTAAAATCTAAACAGAAAATACCTAATACATTTACCTTCATATCTAACAACCAAGACATATCTTCCTGCGAATGCCCTGATTTTACACCAAACATAACCTCATATGAGGTCACGAGTGTGCAAAAGAGAGAAAGCCCGTATGGAAGTGATTTTTCTTCTTCTTTCAAATGGCTGTTTCACAGAAGTCTCTGCACTTTACTGAAGCAGGCAGAGCCTCCAGCACTCCACCACGATGTTCCCATCTGATCCTGCAGATACATGTCCTAATCCACACTAACTCTGTTACAAGCCACAGATTAACTATTTCATCCAGCACCCCCCATCCCACGCCCCACAGAAAACACATTTTATCATGTTACATCCACAAGGGTTTAAGACTGTGTGAACTGTTAACAGACAACTCAAGAATTTTGGGTACATTTTAATGAATAAAAAAAAAAAAAAAAAAAAAGTATAAATAAAAGTAAATTTGGATGAGGAAATAATTGGCAGGACAGAAATAATATTAAACATGTCTTGAAACATGATAAACATTTCTTTTTATTAAAGTAGTGCTTTTCAACACCAACACCATTGTGATGTTATATCAGTTTTTAAGTAATATTCGATGTTGGATTTACAATATCTATTAATGCAAATGAATACGTTCACCTTTAATTTGGACTTTGCTCTAATTTGGACTTTGCTCTACTCCAGATCTGAGTATGTCAAATGAACCTCTTAAACCGGAAGCTCAGAATCTTGCATTACAGTGAATGGAAGTAAAATAACTAACTCTTAATGAGTGTTTTTAAATTTGCTAAAATATTAGAAATTAGCCATTTTCATAGCGTGACTACTTTACTTGAAAATGTGATTTATAAAAGCATCAAAAATAACAGTCTTTTGTCATGTATCATTGAAAAGGTCTCTATCACAATACAAAAAATGAAGAGTTGTCGCTGAGGCGAACATTTGGTGGAAACCATACTAAATTAGAAAACTATATTCAGAACAGGTTGTCTTGAGTCAAACTGTCACAATATAACCAGGCTGAAGACCAGGATACAATTCACAGAGTTTATTTAAGGCAATTCCACAGACTAATAGAAGTTCAGGAACTTAGGAAAAGTCTTCAGACAGAAATATCAACTTAAATTATAATATTAGAACGCAGGAAGTCCATTCTTGAAATGTCTCTTAAGGATAACTCACAGAAGATACAAGAGGTCCTCTTTCTCGGACAGTCAACAGAACATAACTCACTGAAGATAATTGATTCATATAAGAGTGAAGTCCTCTCTCAAACGATCCACTGAATATAACTCACTGAAGAAGAGTGAAGTCCTCTCTCAAACAATCCACTGAATATATACGATCCTCATAATAGACGATCCTCATAATGTCTTACTGATAACGCAAGGATCCACCTCGCTAGCAACACAGCAGACACTAGCCCTGCACAAGAACTTTAAAAGGCACAAGGGAACAGAATAATGTGCAATATATAATACCCAGCAGTGAGGGAGTGAGAGCAAACAGAATATAAAGGCTGGTGATGAGATGATTATGACGTGATAGAGATCAGGTGTGGTGATGAGGGAATCGAGTGCAGGTGAGGATCCAGGGGAATGCTGGGAAATGTAGTGCGGGACAGGACCAGGAAACCAGAGGAACCGTGACACAAACAAGCCCACACACACAATAAGATGATGCGTAGATCTTCAGAAAATCCTCACGGAATGACAACATGCTGCTTGGCTACAGCTATACGACTTCCGGGATCCGATCGCGTCGTGATCTTGAAGCAGTGTTTTCCAATGTCGTTTCAAAGTTCAACCAATGGAAACTGGACCTCGGGTCTGGTCAGTGGCGCAATTCCCAGGGGGTCATATTGAGGTCCAAACAAATGAATGTAGTTCAAAGTGCTTTACAGGCACAAAAATTAAAAGCAAATACAAAATACAGGTAAAATACAAGAAAAAATAAAAAAAAGGTATGAAGGATTTATTAAAATGATAAAATAACATTAAACTATATAGCGGCTAAAAGCAGCATCACCAAATCTTTTACTTCTACTGTGTGGAACTGTTAAAAGTAAAGAATCCGATGATCTGAGAGTCCTTACAGGTTCATAAACTGTAAGCATTTTTAAAAGATAGTCTGGAGCAAGTCCATGCAGTGCCTTATAAACTAATAAAAGGTTTTTAAAATCAACACGAAAACTAACTGGTAACCAATGTAATGATTTTAATATAGGTGTAATGTGTTCTCTCTTCTTGGTCTTTGTCAATACTCGAGCAGCAGAGTTTTGTATTAATTGTAGTTGATTAATTGTAGTCTTTGGTAGACCAGAGAGGAGGGCATTACAATAGTCAAGCCTGCTAGTTATAAATGTATGCATTCATTTTTCTGTATTGCACAGAGAGAGAAATGGTCTTATTTTATGTTTTTTAAATGATAAAATGCTATTTTAGTAACATTACATACATGCGCTTTAAAATTAAAATCAGAGTCAAAGACAACGCCTACATTTTTTGCCACTTTACTTGGGTTTAATCCCAGGACATTTAGTTCAGGGATCAATTTTTCTCTCTGTTCTTTTGATCCAATTATCAAAACTTCTGTTTTATCTTTATTGAGTTGTAAGAAATTTTGCGACATCCAATAATTTATGTCTTGGATGCAATTTGCAAGTGAATCAATTTGCCCTGCAGTGTCAACCGGAGATACGGCTACATATAACTGTGTATCATCAGCATAACTATGAAAAGAGATGCTATGTCTCCTGATGATACGTCCGAGAGGTAACATATATAGATTAAAAAGTAGTGGTCCTAAAATTGATCCCTGAGGAACTCCACAAAGTACCTCATAATGTTCAGACAAGGTATTATTAATAGATACTGCAGATGTTCTACCACTAAGATATGATAAAAACCAATTTAAAACGGTTTCAGATAGGCCAACATACTCGGATATAATTAGCTCAAACTATGCAGCCAGCGCTAACTTTGGTGAATACAACATATAGGTTTTTAGCAGCTATCGATCTCCATTTACAGTTTTTTTCAATTGCTTACACACTAAAATTAAAACTTTCCCACTATTAGCAAAACCTTTCACTCAAGGAGCAAAACACCAGCCTAGATTTGCACAATTGTAAGCACGTTGTCAGCTTCACCCTTTTTGCAAAACATTACACACAGTAATTTGTAAAACTCTACACACATTTTCACACCTTAGACACAGTTAAGGATTGTGAGGTTACTTCCTTGTCATTACAAAGCCCCGGTTTGCCATTGACCACACTAATGAATGAATTGGATATGCACATCCACCAGGTGTGGAAGCACACATTTGCTAATTTGAAAACGCAGCACTCAGGTGTGCTATAAAAGGCAGCAGGTGAGTTCACCTGTCTTCAACAAAAATGGAAGGAGCTAGAAGAAGAAGAAGAAGAAGAAGAAGAAGAAGAAGAGTGAGAATAAGAGGGGGAGCTCAAAGAGGAGATGAAGGAGGTAGAGGAAGAGGAGAAGGAGGTAGAGGAAGAGGAGAAGGCTCTA